AGCATCTCCTCCACCCTTTTGAAGGCTTCTTCCTGGGGGTTGTCCCATACCCATACCGAGTCACTCTTGAAAAGGTCAGTAAAAGACTGCATGACGGTGGAGAGATTTGGTAAAAATCGTCCAAGATAATTCACCATTCCAAGTATTCCCTTAATTTCAGTCATATTTGTTAGTGCCGTCAAATCACGTATTGCACGCACACGTTTGAACTATTCAAGTGATCAAAATTTTCAATGCTTTGTTTCCGGAACTCGCATTTACTCTTGTTTAATTAAAGACCAGTGCACGGTGCAAACGCTTGTCATGCTCCTCCACTGCACTTCCGTATACAATGATATCGTCCATGATAGCTCCATTGATATCTGCTAATATGTATGAAATACGACGCTATTATATTTCAGGGCTGACGTTATCCCGAAAGGTACCCGCTGAAACCAATATCGTCCAAAGGGAGTTTTGAAGATAGTAAATTGGCAACTATATGGAGCAAGGGGTATCTGGTGAAAACCACTACTAGCATCGAGCTTTGAAAAGACTGTAGCCTTGTTCAATTTCGGGGCAATGTCGTCCAGGTTGGGTAACATGTAATGTTCACGCTTGACTGCCTAATTCAGTTTCTTAAGATGAACACACAAGCAAACATCCCTAATTTTCTTGAATGCCGTCACAATTGGTGCACACGAATCTATCGGTTTTGCACTTTTGCGATGATTCCTGCATTTTCCATTTTGTTTAGTTCTCCCTCAACCTTCGACATCAATGTAAAAGGAATCCAGCGTGCTGTTGTGACACAGCATGGAGTGGGTCCGGGTTCAAGCGCTATCTTGACTAGTGGGCCCTTAACGCATCCATGTGTACCCGTATTACATCCCGTATTACCTCAATTTTCATCACGAGCCCCATACTGTGTGCTACACTTCGACTGAGCAACTTATAACCACTAAAAGAGTTTTTAAGCACATACACTCGAAAACGAAACTCAGTGTTTTTGTGAAAAGTCTTAGTGATGAACATCCCTTTATACTCTACTGATCCTCCTGGACTGTACAACCGGTTTGTTGATGTCTGCAGTTTGGGCTTAACTGGCGATGAATTGTATGTAGCCTCAGATATCACAGATGTTTCAGCACCAGTGTCAATCTTAAATGTAATATACTTACAACACACCTTCAATTTCACAGTCAAAGCATCTGTATTGTCTGACCCGCTCAAGTCGATTTAACCCATGTAGAATGAATAAGATGATGAACATGCATCTTGAACTTCATCCAGGTGTCTTGGCATGCTGCGACAAATAACCTGAAAGTGTCCTTTTTTCCCACACTTCAGACATTTCTTTTCTGATGCCGGACAGTTTCCGGGACTGTGCTTTAGATTACACTTGTTACACTTACTGTAAACTTTTTCCTTGGCTTTAAGCTGTCTGCTATAATTGTTTAAAGGGGTTGGCAAATTTTGCTGTCAAACTCTAACTGCATCTAATTTCTTAGATTGTAAGTCTTTTAATATGATGTTTCAGAAACTCTGAATTACGTGCCATATCAACAGCTTTTGAGAGTGTAAGTTAGATTCAAGCTGTAGTTTCTCGTTAAGTTCCTTGTCGATAATGCCCACAACTCACCTATCAATAATTTGGTCGTTCTTGTCTCTGAAATCACAGCTAGTACTAGTGGACCGCCAACTCGGACATATTCCTCTACTGACTCTTCCTGGCGCTGACTCCAGATGTGGAATTTGGCGCGCTCGTGAATCCCATTTTTCTTTGGAACAAAGTCTTTGTCAAAATTTTCAAGAACCTACTTGAACTTCTTCTCATCACAATTAGAGATTGCAAATGACTTAAATATCCCCTCTGCTTCCGGCCACATAGCGTAAATAAGAGAACTTATCTGGATTTGGTCATCTCCATCGCGATCTGAAAACGTGTGAATCTCTGCTTCATTCCGACCATTCATTCGGCTCGGTTAAGGCGAAATTTTCTGGGGGGTTGAGTTTCGGCATCGCAGTTCAAAAGTTAAGGCAACATTTTCTATAAAAAGGCACCAAAAACGAGACACTGAAAGTTCAACTGTCTTATTTTTTTGCATGAAACTCTATCTGAAATATCTTTATGGCTTCATGAAGAGTTTGTCCATCGGTATTTTTTGTCATCATGTGACCCTCTACAGTCACGTGAGCTCCGATGTTAGGTCAAAATATAAAATGTCAAATTTAACCAAAAAGTGCAAGGGCAAGGCAAATAATATTTGAATTGCACAATGTTTCATTGTGTTCCTTGGTATCTCTCCTATCGAAAAAACTGATGCTTATTCAGTCAGATTTCTGAGATATTTAAGTTATTCATTGAAAACAAACACCAGTATTCAAAAATAGGGTATTTTGCATCATTTAACCGGAAATTTTAAATTGCCTAATGAATTACAAAGAAATGAGCATCACTTTTTAAAAAATATACAATAAAATAAAGAATTTAAAATAAAAACCTGCCTCTTGGGTTGTCGCCTTGCCCTTGCACTTTTTGATTAAATATTGAAATTTAATTGCAAGGATGATCAACATCCAATCTACTTCATATAATTACACTAAATGAACACGTGTATTTACGATGTCCGACTCTGTTTTCAAAGCCTGGCGTCATCAGAATTTCTTGAATCTCAGTTTGATAATATTGTATTGACTTCCTACTTAGTCAGTGCATGTTTGTCTATTTTTCTGTTTCACAGTAGTTGTATATTTGCATTGATAATGATGTATCAAAAAGAGATTTATTGACACACATGTGCTCATGGTTAAAAGAGAAAAATCTGCTCCTTCTTACATTTGCACTCTTTCTCTCTGTTATAACCAAGGGTTGGGACGTGTTGAATATTTATTTATAATTCACCACATGATTTCTTACCTCAGGTAACTTTGTGAATACTTAATTTTGTCACATAACTTGTACGGTAGAATATTTTGTGCTAACTAGGACATTGTGTTCGTCTGACATTGATTTAATTTTTTTTTTAAATGGACATGCATCGTCAGTAGTGTACCTGTGCCATACAGAATCGAGAGGGATGTAGGAAAGAGTGATCCCTTTTTTCATACAAGCCATTGTTATTTATCTAGTCTAATTTTAGACACATTTTTACCATATAAGCTCCACCTCTCATGCATACCTAATATTCAATCAAGGGCAGGTAAGTGTACGTTCTCTATACATGTATTTGGAAAACAGAAAGGACAAAAACCTAGAATCATTTTATCGTTATTATTTAACATTTATAAAAAAACAATATTCAAACAATACACATCGGGAGCAGAGCAAACACGGACCTCCAAAAACATCAGAGGTGGGATCAGGTGCCTTGGAGGAGTGAGCATCCCCTGTCGACCGGTCACACCCGCCGTATGCTCCTTGTCATGACCGGGAAATAATGGATAAATCCGTCGACAATTCAGCGTGTAAATAATGGCGTAACAATTAGTATGAAAAAGTCAGTCAGCATATGACTTAATGATAGATTGTATTTGCTGACAAGGTCATTGTATCGACCATAGAACTTACGAAATGATGTCTTTAAACGAGCCTACTGAAATTCTTGTTTCATCAACTTGTTTGGAAATAACTTATCTCGTTTTAGAAATTGTTCATACGTAGAGTATGCTCTTGTGTATCGAATCAACTGAGAGATATACACCCCATATGCAGATGATAAGGGTATATTGCTGCATAAGTCATCACGTTTTTCATACAGCTTTGTTATTAGATTACCATAAACGTCTTTTTCTAGTAAAATATCCAAATATGAAACAGATGTGTCAGACTCTATGGTATCTTTTATTTCAAGCTCACTGGGATATATCTTGTCGACATATGAATGGAAATAACTATTGTTAATTGATAATACGTCGTCAATATATTTAAATGTTGAAGGCCACAGCAAGAGATTTCTTTATCTCGTGTAAAAGATTTTGAATGAATTCTGCTTCAAATCAATACAAAAATAGGTCTGATTAATAACGGGGCGCAATTGGTACCAATGGGAATTCGAACATATTATTGGAAGACCTGGTCTCCAAAAACGACATAGATATTGTCAATCAGAAACTCAAGCATCTTTTTTAATATCAACATTAGAGTACTTGTGTGTACAATCACAATGTTTGTAGACAATATTGTTACCTGCTTTGTCAGCTGACAACAGTACATACTGATCGTGTAGTCTATCTTATTCTTTTTACACTTCTGGATTACTGAACACAGAAGGAAAGATGGTTTTCATATTGCCCCTCAATCGCTTAATGCGAGATTTTAACATACATCTGAAACATTTATCCATTCTGACAAAGTGCCTAGGTCTTATTTTGCATGTCTGGCCCATCGCCTTGCGTAATCTTCCACAAAATTCATAATATTTATGAAATTATGATTCAAGTTGAAAGATCGGGGATTCTTAAAAAGCAAAAGAAGCGACCGAAAAAGACCCAAAACCATTAAGTGCAGTCATCCTTTACTTGATAAAGACCTTGCAAGATCTATCACCATATCTTTTTTACATGTATATCACTTTAAAGAAGCTTTGCTTCAGATTTTCCATCTTGAAAGGAACTATCAACCCTTCGCATTAAAATCAACTCCCATCAGTACTTTCAGTACTTTGATTTGCTATACCCCAGTTTTAATCAGTCTGATTTGGCCCGTGACATGCCACACACAGTTCTTATTGATATCATAAAAAAAAAACTCTATTCACTCAACGGATTCATTTCAAACAATTTGATGAAAAAATACATCTCGATTCTTAACCATCACTTATTCTAGACCCATTCCTTTGTCCATCTCTAAACATCGTCTGCTGCTAGGTCTTTATCCTTGGATCCAATAAATATTTGAACAAAGCTACATTGCACGGAAGAAAAACTAAGATGCATATGTCCACAATTTCTCCAGATTTACAGAACTGACCACACATGTATTACAAAGATGTCATTGAGTTTAAGAAATTTGCTCTTACTTGAAAATCTGTAACATTTTGGAAAGGTTCCTTTCTTGATAGCAGCATTCCCTGTAAAAGAAAACAAACATACTCAGTATTATTGAATAAATAAAATATACCACATAACCAGTTGAGTTCTCGTTTCCAGCAACGATTTGCTATTTTGGCCCCTCTGAGCCCCTTAATTGGAGGGATCAGCCCCTTTTTATGTCAAATGAAAGGTCTTATGATTTTGAAGATTATTTGTTCAACAACTATTTAGAAATTTCTGTCTGTTTTTGAGCTATATAAAATAGAAATATTTAGGGTCCAGACATTCAAGTCCTTAATGGGGCCGTTTGGAAAAATTGAAAGGGTGCAAATTGACAATAACTTTATTCGGAACATCTTTTGTTCGTTATTGCTTATCAAAATATTTCCCATTTCGAGATATAAAGTGTCAAATATTTAGCATTCTGGCCCATTTTGGCCCCTAATTACGTAATATTGGATCAATTTTTTTTATAATATATTAATGCAGATTTTTAAGATAAATATTATGCTTCAGTAATTTATCACAAAATTTTGATCGTTAAGGAGTTAAAGGTATAAAGTCTTTTGGCACCTCTAAGCCCCTAATTTGACGGGCCTACCCCTTTTTCATGATATCGTTTGAATGACCTTGATATTCTGCACAACTTTTGTTCGATATGTGGTAACAAAATATTTGTAGATGCAAAGATATGACGAAAACCGTGAAAAATTTAGCGAGATGTTACTGAGCCATTTTTTCGAGCCCTACCGAGCGCTGGTGCCTTTATGTTAGACAAATAAGAATACCAAATTGCACGTCTACTCAACTATCTTAAGGAAATCGATGGAAAATTTTATCTTAATATCTTCTTAAAGGTGCTTAGACACAGATTTGAAGTTAATATTTTCTCAAAATTTCTGTATAATATCACGACTTATATATTGCAACAGCATTTCACACGAAAATACAGTTAAAAACTTATTTTATCTGGAAATTATTGGAACTACGAATTCCTGGACGCGTTTGATTAACACATCCTTGCACTTTCACAAATTTTATCTTTATCCTTAATATTTAAGAAAAGAAGCGATTTTCTTTTTATTAATGAAAAACATTACATCTATAATCCAGAAAATTCAGAGTAGAAATGTGCGAAAGCAAACCCCCTCACTTATATCGTCAGCCCGTGCTCAGTGTTGTGTAGAGTTTAACAAATTGAATACACCCGTGAAAACGTAAACTGTTTTTGTAAACATGGCACGAGCTCTGTTATTGTTAATGTTTACAATTCACCGGGTGTGTTCAATTGTTTAAGTCTGCACACACCACTGAGCACGGACTGACAATACTGTGAGTGGGTTTTGCTTTCGAACATTTCTACTCTGAATTTTCTGGATTATAGTTTTAATACTTTTCATTAATACACAACAAAACTGCCACTTTTCTTCAGTATTTAGAATAAAATTAAAAATTGTGAAAGTGCAAGGATGTGTCAATCATTTTGCCATAAAAATTGGTATACATTAAAGAGGTTAACATCCTGTACCTAAAACGTGCTAGGAGCTAGTTTATGCTCTTTGGGAAATACTCGCAAATTTACTGAGAATGTGTGCACTGTAATATATACACGCCTATAAGTGCCAAGGCGAGTATATAGGTCGGTTGTATTTTAGGTTAATTTGGAGGGATTTGCCATTGACCCGCTTGTAAGTCGGTACAACTTTTTGCCAGAATCGTTTGAAAGTTGAAATCAATGCACTGATGTTTTTACCTGGTTTCCATTAATATTTTTCGAAATAACGCCGATATCTAATTTTAAATCATTAAACAAATAAGTAATGCACACTTAAGATAAAAATAAAATTATTATAATAAGTAAATACTTGTACTTTATGTATAATCTTTGAATGCATAAACGATTATACATATATAGACTTTGTTCTTCAATAATCGTCGGAAATATATATAAAATGCTACATTTCGCTGTCCAGAAAAATACCAATCTCTTTATAACTCGCCTATAAGTAGGACATAGAGTTTTGGACCAAAATTTAACTCCCAAAAAAACGACTTATAGGCGAGTATATACGGTACTAGCAAAAATGTTTAACTTCGCCTCTACATCGTAAGAATTAAAAAAAAAAATATTCTTTTGACCAGAATCAACTTCCAGCACTTTTTAGATTATACATGTTATAAGCAATTGATATTCCGCATTTCAACTTAAACAGTCTACTCTAGTGCATGTCTTTCCACTTTTAAGGTTTATCGAGAATATGCTTATCGTATTATCGATTTTTTAATACATTCTCTGACGCCGGGCAACTAGATAAGGTCCTGATTATTAATTATTTACTTACGTGTAGTTGTTTCAAGAATTGCTTTATTTTCAGTTTTGTTTGTTAAACTTAAAAATTTACAATGATTTTGTATTCAATTAATCATCTTTGTAATCATTAAACCAATGGATCCACTCCTCTGGCAACTTATACTGCGTCAATTCAAAGCGAATGACGCCATATATATATATATGACAAGATTTGTCTCTTGATACTCGGCAGTGTTGTTTCAAATGTTGAGATTTTCTATTCTCAAATAAATAATGGATAAAACAAATGCATACAATCTTTTATTTACGCATTTATGTTTGCTTCTTATTAAATTTTTAATGACGTCACAATGATACGTAGTACACCATGCCTAACTAATGCGAACTCAGGCTTTCTTTAATGTAGCTGAGTACAATGTTTCCTCTAACATCCCTGAAATGCTAACTTCATATCTCTAACTGTTTATGAGCACACTTCAGGGCAAGCAGTCCTTCTAGAAATAAAAAAATATCATTCATCTCTCAAAACCGGAAGAGAGATCATCAACGGAAAAAAAAATTCCAATAAGGTTCAGGACAGTATCTATCAGATCTGAAAGTTTCGTGAAAATTTACCAATTCCGCAGGTATGTTAAGGCAGTACCCAGATCATATTTCGGCGAATTTAGACTTTTTTCGTAAAATGTAACATTGATAAATCGGAAAAACCATAGATAAAACATTTACTATTATTACCCATTGTATAGACGTCATTGAGTCTTAGGCTAAAAGAAGCACTCCACTACGACGTCATCACGTGACGTCTATAAATAGAAAAATTGCCTTAATGAAAAAGTGAAAAGTTCAACACTACCCCGGAGATAATTCATTTCTTTTAGTGAAAATAATTATGTAAAAACATCACTGGGCCATGAAAAATGCTGCTAGAATCCTACTCTCCTGACACAGAAAAAAATATTCCAAAATTTCGCATGAAACCTTACCAAAATTTTTACATTTTATACATACGATCAAGGAATTTTTATCAATTCATGTTAACCACACGATTCTAGCAGCACTTTCCAAGTACTATAGAATACAAGCTTTCGATACAAAGAAAAATTAAATTTCAAAGTATGCAGCATAGTGTTGAACTTTTGCATCTTTGTTGTTATAGAACGACAGAGGAACGGCTGATCTGGATTTCAAAGCACTGACTATGTTCATTACAAGAAAACATGATAAGAATATATCAGCGTACCTGATTCTTAATCTTTAATTCCTTATGAATCACACATAACATTCATGGTATATGCCTTAAAACTCCCATTTCATATATTTGTTTACACGAATTCTCATTTCACTCGGCAAATATTTGATCAATAGTTATGACGTCATGGGTTTGGTATTTAACCCCCGTGCTAAATAATTAGCTATTTATACCACCCAAAAACGACAAGATTTAGTTTATGTTATGTTTTGAATGATTCCATTCTTTTCTTGGACCTGAAATTAAACTTTAAATATAGATATTAAGAAATCATTATTTCATTAGTTCACGTCATACAGCTTACTATGACGTCATATTGTGAAGGCAAGTAGGATATCTCTGGGTGTAGCCTTAACATACCCGCGTCATTTCCGAGAACTTGCATTTTTGTGTGCACAAAGTCGGTAAGAAAAAAAATAATAATAGGGAAAAAAGAACCGAAGAACAACAAGGTCTTTCGTTAGAGACGGAAGACCTTAATGACAAGTAATTCAGATGTTAAGAGTAGTGTTAAAATGATTTGATAATGGACAGGCTATATAATGGTTGTAAACGTTACAAGTACATGTTCTAGTATATGAACAGACAAAATATGTTGATAGTCTCAGTCATACTATGTAGGCCCATGAGGGATAAGTGTGTGGAAAGTTTCGTTGCTAAAAGAGGGCAGAATAAAATAGGAACATATGTGTTGCATTGGCATTTTGAAATATAAATTTCTTAATATATACAACTTCGAAATTGTGTGTATTGTGTGCATTTTTCACTGCACATAATAAATGTACACTCTCTCGAATGAACTGTAGCTCTCTAGTTGTCAATCCCATTTTTACAGACTAGAAACATATATAAATGTAGTTGAACAGAAGAAAAGAAATAACTAATTGTACGTCTCTTGAGCAATGAATAATAAATTTAATGAGTAGGCAAAATTCATGTTTGTTTATCTGAGTTCAAGTAACGTAAAAATATATTTTAGCAAATCAAAATTGGAGAATCCCCCCCCCCCCAAAAAAAAAAAAATAAATAACCGATGTCCCTACAAGCATATGCCTGCCAGTACTGCAAAGAACAACACTCCCGGCTTAAATGCCCCAAACTCCCCCAAATGATGAAAAACAGTCGTCTAAAGCTTCAAACTCCAGTAAAACCAGAAATTCTTTAAAAAATAATTTTTAAAGGATACAATTCCTTCCTTTCAGATTTAATCATATCGGGCTTCACCAGTATTCTTAGATTAGGTTTCTAGGTACCCCTACATCTCAACATTCTTCAAATCATGGATCCACTAACAAACATCCTGAAGTTGGGTAGGATATCAGAGCCCTCCACTTATCCTCAATTTGAAAACTTGGTTATCTCTCCTCTTGGCGTTGTTAAAAAAAAAGTAGAAGTCCAATTTCGTCTAATTCATGACCTGTCCTACCCAGAAAACAACTCGGTTAATTCTCAAATCCCTCCAGAGAATAGTCATGTTTCTTATTACTCCATAGACACTATAATTTCACTAGTGAAACAATTTGGCACTGCAGCCCTAATGGCTAAATGTGATACTGAGGATGGTTTCTGCAATATCCCTGTCCACCCAAATGACTACTATTTGCTGGGATTTAAATGGGATAATTTCTATTATTACGACAAATGCCTCCCTATGGGCGCTAGTAGCTCCTGTCAAATTTTTGAAACACTCAGCACTGCGTTACAGTGGATCATGCTCAACAAATTTTCAGCTCTAGGTATGTCCCACATGATTGATGATTTTTTCTTCAGAGGTCCCCCTGCTTCCGATAGCTGCTTAACAGACTTGAACAATTTTATATCCCTTTGCAACAATATTGGAATTCCTTTGAATCCCAACAAAACCTGTATACCTAACACAATTATTATCATTTATTGTATTGAGGTGGATCCCATTGCCATGGAATGTCGTTTACCAGATGACAAAATTTTCAAAATTAAAACTCAGCTATCCAAATTTTCCCTGCAGAAAAAAAGATCATTCTCTGTGAATTGCAATCCCTCATTGGGTTGCTTAATTTTGCTTGCTCACTGATTTCTCCCGAGCGTGCCTTCTTGCGTAGGTTAATTGACCTGAAAAATCCTTAGGTAAACGCAACGGAAGAACACCAAGAATGTATCACTTATTACGATAACGTCCGAGAGTATTGGCCTGACGTAATAATCTCTCTCGGGTGTTATCTTAATAGGTAATATATTCTCTATGCACTTCCGTTGCGTTTACCTAAGGATTTTTCAACACAGTGGGATTCTTACGAGATGCAGAGTCAATCCGATAGCATGAACTAAGACAGAAATATATATAGAGACAGTGTGAACCGACATTTTAGGTTAAAATAAAATAAAATCTTGTTTTTTAAACCCAGAAGGACCAGTGGGGGTACAACGTAAACAAACCGGAGTGGCATACCTTTCTCTCTTATAATGTATAGTGGGGATTTTTGTGTGGAACGATTATTTAGGGTTTTCGCGATTTTTTTTCTATGGTGCACATGATATAATTTGTGAAAAAAAAAATGTCCAACAAGCCCCAAGGTTGAATATCGGCGGGGGGAAGGGGGTCCTGTCCACAAGTACCTGTGGAAAGAAATTGACATCTTTACTTAAATTAGGTAATTTTCGAGTTGATGAGTGCACCCCCAAAAACAGTTTTAATAGATCGGCTTATCCATGATGTAGGCACCTAACGTTATAAATTACTCTCCCACCTGCCAGTTTACGGGGAAATAAAACCCCCCTTCGTAACGAAAAAGCGCACTAAGGGAGATAATCTCGAAACTTGCGTATTAAATTGAAGCTATATTATGAATAAAAATAGAAATTTAAACTGTAAACAATGCAACTATGTCTAGGCCCCTTTAACAATACATGATTATATATATAAATATAAAGTGTTACTTTACCTTCACTTTCGATAGCTTTGGGAATGTATATCTTTGATTTTGTTCCATATATCCTGTGCACAAAATCCTCTTCAATATATTTTTCACTTTTACCATCATATTTTTCAGGCCATTTGATGTAGGTCTTTACATCCCTGTAATATATATTATCAGGTGTTCCATTGGAAAGACGAATGGAAAATGACTTCAAAATAGTCCTTGTATCCTCTATGCACACAACTGTAGAACAATCCCCAGGAAGTAATTGCCGTTTCCACCCGAATGTACATACTTGAACGGAGATTGTATATCCATGTACTAAAATCTCGAACAGTAGTGATAATTCAAGATTTCTTGATGTACAAAACGGACTTCTACATGAAGATGATGAGTTAAACACAGAAAAATATCAGTATTCTGAAGATTCAATATCCTTGTGCATCCAAGTTTATTGTTAAACTCTGAAATCAAACAGGCTTGGTTTACTGTAACAGAAAGATTCAGACTATCTTCAAAGTTGCCATACCGTTTGATCATCAGATATTGACAGGGGTATTTTAGCGTTGAGTTGAAATACCCACTGGATAGATTAGGCACCTCTCCCATGGCCTTGCTGATCTCTATCATTTAATTAGTCCATCTTAAATTTGAAAATAAAAACGACTTCAGCAAAAAACAAATGCTAACAAAGTAAAGCAAAAAAACAAACAAACAAACAAACAAACAAAAAAAAAACAAAAAAACAAAACAAAACAAACAAACAAACAAAAAACAAGTAAAAAGCAAAACAAAACAAAAATGAAAAACAAACAAAAAACAAAACTGATGCCCCCGTATGGCAGCTTATGGCCAAGGCTAAACTTTTTCAACTCTAGGTCAAACACCAAGATCACCAAGATCAAGAAGTCAAACATGTTGTTATCCAAAAAAAAAGGTTAAACTGCAAGGTCAAGAGGTAAAAATGTTGGTACATGAAGAAAAGTCTTGTCACAAGAAGCCACATGTAAAATATAAAAGCCCTAGAATCAAACTTTCAGAGGTTATGAGCAAGGTTAAAGTTAAAAAAAAAAAAACCAAAACAAAACAAATCAAAAACAAACTCCAAGGTCAAGAGGTCAAAGGTGTTGGTATCTAACGAAAGATTTTGTCACATAAAATGTGGAAAATAAATGCCTTAGCCCCAAATGTTCAGAAGTTATGGGCAAGGTTAACCTTTTTTAATAGTATGTCAAACTTCCAAAGTCAAGATTAAGATAAATTTTGCGTACAAACAAACAGACAGACTGATAGATCAAAAACTATATCCCCACAAATCTTCTATTACATGTACAGGGGCACAAAGACAAAATCTGCAAATCACTTAAACCAATTCGATTAGGCCAGGCAGCATGTTTCCATCTGTGTAAAGGCGTGACCAATAGAGGTCACTACTTTACACAGTCATTAAATGAATTTCTTTATTACATGATTGAATAATTCTTAACTATTTGATTGGTTGAGATCCAACATTGTAGAGGAAAAAAAAAACTGTTATGGTCACCTGAACGTGACCTTTGAGAAAAATATAAGGATTTATTTTTTTTTTTCTACATTGGACTAAATTTAAAAATGATTGAGAACTTCTGAATGGATACAAATAGTTCTGGAAAGTTATTTCACTTGCAATTGACTCAGGTGAACACAACATTCAGGCACATGGTTTGGGGTGGGGTGCAGGGGGCTTGCCCCCTACCCACACTTTTTTCTGAACGTAAAATTTTACAATTAAATTGGAATATTTACAGGAGCTGTTTTTTTTCTACTTAACGAACAATGAAATTGATTTGAATGCCATTTTTATGTACGATTAGAAATATGCACGATGAAACTCGCGCTAAATTCTAACACTGAGTATATTTTTTCAAACGTTTGAGAAGCGGTAGCGGATTCGGGACATCTAATTTTAATTAGATTGGGTTGCAGGTGGCAACTGGCCTTTTGATACCCCTCCTTTCCTTCTTGTTGCAGTAGCATATGTATGGTGTAAAACTCTGCCACATGTATCCAAAAAAAATTCTTGTTGAAAAGATGAATTTGGAACCCCCCCCCCCCCTAATTATACTCTCTCTCCTGAAAGACAATATTATGTCCCTCAAATTTTGCCATATAAATATGCTATGGGAATGTATCATTTGTCATTTGCATCTTTCTGCATGCCTTCCATCAGTTTACATATTAGCTTAAGTACAAAGAAAATGTTGAAGATATAATTGTCAATCGTCGTACACTGATTAAAATTGATAATCACAATTCAAACATTTTATGATTTTGTGATGTTGACCTTCTCCATTCCGGCGCTGATCCAGGGTTTGTGTTAGAAGAAGCTCTATTAGATGGAAAGCGGTCTCTGTTGTCTTGGAGACAATTTTCTTGGTGGATCCAGGGCACTATTCAGTTGGGGTGCCCGCAGGAGAGAACTCCCGCAGGCTTTTGAAATTCAACAAACAGAGAACCTCATTTTGACTCAAAATGAGTGTAATTTTACTTTTGTACATCGATGTTTGACAGTGAAAGTACATGTAAATTTGAAATAATTTTCTTTGGTTTTAGTGGGGGCGTGCACCGGGAGCACCCCGACAGAATCTGCTCCTGCCATTGCATTGTTACGTGTGTTACATTTCCTTTTTTCCTATAAATTCCTATGTAAAAAAATATCAACTATTGTGGCCACACCCTACCCCTGTGGTTCAAGATTTCAACAAACTTGAACCTACACCACCTGAGGATACTTCCACATTATTTAAAAAATGATTCACTATGGCTCTTTGCTATTCTTGAGAAGAAGAGTTTTAATGACTTTTCCTATAAAATCCTATGTAAACATTTATTGCCTATTGTGGTCCCATCCTACCCTGGGAAGGGAGGAGGGTCATGATTTGAACAAACTTAAATTACATTACCTAGGGTTCCTATATATATATATATATATATATATATATATATATATATATATATATATATATATATATATATATATATATATGTACACACCTGTGTATATATATATATATATATATATATATATATATATATATATATATATATATATATATATATATATATATATATATATATATATATATATATATTAATATGACTAATCGTGGCTTTGCTGTGCTTGAGATGATTTGAAAATGTTTTTCATAATTATATATTTACATTCAACATGTATTTTGCTTATAAAGTGTGAAGAAAGCTACGGCATTCAAAACACCATAACACAGACATGGGGTCAAAAGGTTAAAGTATGCGTTTTATTTTGACTTCACAAACTTTGAACGCCGTGGAAGTGCAACGTCATAAACGAAAAAGTAAAACTTTGATCCCCCTTTGTGGCACCCACCCTCCCCCAGGGGACATAATTCAATCAACTTATAATCTACATTACATGTACCTCAGGAAGTTTTCACATAAGCTTCGTCTTTTCTGGCCCAGTGATTTTTCAACGTAAATTTTGTCTCCTGTTGTGGTTCTACCCATCACCCCGGGGACATGATTTGAACAATTTAAAATCTACACTTCCTTGTGAAGCTTTCACTTCAGTTTCATCTCTTTTCGACCAGTGGATCTTGAGAAGATTTTTTAATGACCCCACCCTATTTTCTGCATTTTCTTGATTATCTCCCCTTGGAATAGGACTTCATTTGAACAATTTAGAATCCTCTTTACCCAAGGACGCTTTGTGCCAACTGTGATTAAATTGGCTTTTGTCAGTGCAAATTTATCTGCGTTTGAATATATAATTGTAAAATCACCATAAGCATATCTCTCTCACGTCCAAACAGTATTCCAACAACTTTGTTCATTATTTCCTACAAACAAACACATAGATTATTTCTTATTAACAAGAAACCCCCTAAAATATATATCAGAGCCAAATGCCCATAATGCTTGCATGACATATATTCATTATCCCCCCTCATATAAAGGTCATATGCAGTGAGATCCCTTCTGTGTCATCCAACCCCCCCCCCCTTTTTTTTCTCCATACTTTAAACGAAAACAAATCTTCACTACACTGTACACCAGAATATTTGAAACTAAATTTTCAGCATTTTTCAACATTTCAGCCTTTGCATTAAGGAAGCTCTAAGCACTAATGAAAAATGCTTTTTGGACTTTGAGAAAAATATATCATATAAAGGTACATATATTCAGTGTATCTAGTTCATTTTCACCATAGGGTACCTGCCTTATTTCTGCAAAAAATGTTCAAAGACAATGAACTATTTGTGAACAGAAATCACTGTTGTTAACTTGAATCAGGATGTATTCAATTACTTCATCTTAGTCTAATATAACATTAAGAATACTTTAATGCATTAGAAATTGTGTCATTAACTGTAGATTCCCATTTATTCTATTTTTCTTCTAAGGGCAGATCACTCTAACTCAATAAAACTACCCGGCCTACAAATACAACTCTTTAGTGTGCAGTGTTTAGAGCTTCCTTAAGGAGATAATAAATATGTAGGATGTACATGTTTGATCATTGATAATTAGTCACCAAAGAGTCTGCTGATGTTACTCAGTTTTCAAGTTAATAAGGCTAAAGTGAACTTTTTGGATTAAGTGCCCTACATGTATATGTCCATTTATCTGTTTTCTGGTGCATCATACAGGTAAATTTTGTATATTTTTCATCTTCTTCCTAAAATTATAACCACTATAGCAATATCAATTTAACAGTGACACAGAACATTTTTGGTATATGAGGATAAAAAAGAAAACAAATTCACCAAATATGAGAACCAAGTTCCTTCAAAAGGGAGTAATAAAATTTAGAAAAATGAGACCCCACCCAATAAATAAATGATTTTTTTATGTAATGTATTGGTTGATATAGTGACAGTAAAGTACATGTATTATATATATTGTAATTTTGCTCAAATACTGCTTTATTGATAAAAAAAATCTTAATATATACAATGTAATTAATGTTCTTACTTTGTTGCAATTTAAATAAATAATCAATAAGAGATTATAAAACAAATTTCAAAGTTCTTACATTTTAATGTAAATATAAATGAGTTACTAATTAAAGAGTACATGATGATATCCCTCCCACCTCCTCCCTTAAAAAACTTAAGCCCTGAACAAACTGAAACGTACAAAAAAGTAAACAATATCAACAAACATAATTCCCTGGTACTGCCTAGTAATCTTGTTACTGCCATGTATCTTTAATTTCTACTTCACAGTCTTATCATCCCACTCAACTTGTAGCTCTGACGTTTATGTCATGTCACTGATGTTGCTTTCTTTTTTTTTTTTAAACTTATTTTTTTATTCTTAAGACCTTATCAATCTCATGAAATTGCTTGAGTGTTGAGAAATCTCATGAAATTGTTTGAGTGTTGAGTGTAGGAGTAAAAAGCCGCACACGTACACAAGTAACCGTTTTCATTCGGCAAGTAAATAAGAGTTCTTCATGCGTGTTACTGAATAAAAAGTTCTTTAAATAATACCTGGCTACATTACATGCTTGTATTTTTTAAAATAATGTTCTTACTTTAGTGTTCTGAGCTTTATCTACAAATTATTTACTGACAATTTTCATTTTTTATTTATGTTTGATTTGATTAAACACGTCTTCAAAAA